CCCCAGAGTTTCCTCCGGCGACCCATCTGCTGACCGCGGGGCTGGGCGCGTCGGCCAGGCTAAAAACTAACCAAACAGGTTCGATTTGGTGTAAAATTAATATTGTATAGATAACAAACTAATTGGCAGTTATGTTTCTCACCTTTGAGAGTAGCATCATCATAATCAAGTTTTTCATCAGAAGGGCCTGGGCCTGAAGCTGGGCCTTGCGCTATGACTGATAATACATCGGGAAAAGAAACTTCACTTTTTTATTCAAAAACTATTTAGAGCGGTTTTCACTTGAGTGTCAAAACTTAGTTGGTTTTGCATCACTGCACTACACGATTGACTTAAAAAAAGATCGCGCCACTTTCTCTTATTCGCTCGCACACGTTTTCCTGCGCTTCGCTTCAACTGCATGTGTTTCAAGTTTTGATTGGTTTACTGGATTCTCTGTGTCCTGTCAGTGACTGGCTAGAGTGATTACTTTGATTTTTGATACTCAATTAAAAAAAGGCTCAATTTCCTAACTAATAAACAATGACTTACAACAGAATAAAAATTAATGACAATTAATAACAAATAACACTGCAAAATGACAAAAATAATGGTTAATTTCTAAAAAAGAAGGTCTCGGATCTGTCTTTTGTCTTGTTTCGCATCATTACATCTTAAGCATATATTTCGTTGTTTCACTGTTCCCAGGTATTAAGGGCATCCAAGCCTGATAAATTAGTTATTTCGGCTTATCGACTAAGTTATAGGGAATGACATTAGATTTTCACAGTCTACAGTGTAGACACTATCAATAACATCGCGCTTGAAGTTCCACGACTATTTTAAAACCAAGTAGTTTCCTTTGCAGTATTGGATACTTTTAAACCAGCCGAGCATTGAAACAGATGTCAAATATTTCATTTCTTGTGAAGTTTTTCCTGGAGTTTTTTTCCTTCTCACCTTCTAAAACATCTTCATCAAAATCCACTCTTGCTTCATGCGATCTGACTTGACTTTCCGCCATGACTGAAATATACAAGAATGTTCACATTGTTACCTTCTAAACCTCACTACCAGACACCTCTAAAGACTTTATGAACATGACTGACTAGAACTTGCTTTAAGTCAACCAATCCCGTTTCATTTAACTTCCATGACGGCAGCCCCCGAGACTCAGTCAGTTACAAAAATGTTAATTTACTTCCCAAGAGCGTGGACAAAGGAAACAATTCGAGAGCGCTGATTTGTATAATAGTAAAAATAGGTCAGGCGATAGGGGGTCCCCCTTATTATTTAAAACATTGATGTGCCTCGTGACCATACGAAAGTATGACCATAGTACACGTGAATCAACGTTTTCTAAGAGAACGATGAAAGTTTCCATTAGAACCGTCAAAAAATTGTATTTAGTCTTTGGCACAAAGGCCAAGTTTTGAATGTCTCGGTTGCGTGACTTGCATTAAAGTCACAAGTAGGAGTTACTTAACTAAGCTGGTCGTTTTCAAACACAAAACCGAAAAAGAAGATACTTTTAGCTTGATTCATAACAATTACATCGGCACGGACAATAAGGCCAAACAGAGATGAGATTAAAGAAAGAAGTCCAAACGCATTACTTCGAACACGCCGAAAAGTTTGCACCACCACCCACCCACCCCGCCACCCCCCGGAACACAATACATTGAAACTCAAATTATTCCACAGCACATAAAGACATTAATCCCTAATCAAAACAAGTTTGACACACAAATTCAGTGAACATGGCTGACTAAAAGTTTTG